TTTTGTGAGGCCCACAGAGGCTCTCCAAGGAGGAGCCTCCGCAAAAAAGACCTGAGGAGGATGGGGAGAATGCGCAAGGCACGGCGCAAATTAGGAAAAATAAGCATGGAGGAAGGATAACGAATAACATTATTATAGCGGCGATGCCAGAAAAGGCAACAAGGAGTTATAGCTAAATTGTCCGCTTGACATTCCTGCTATTCCGCCTGCATGCCAAACTTTAAGGACCAAACTGCATGGCGCGAAGCGCCACTGCAGTCTTGTGTATATATATATATATGAATATATATATATATATATATATATATATATATGTGCATATATATATATATATATGTATCTGCTATATATACATATCTCAGCATGGCCCCTCCTGTGGCGGACCGCCACGGTGGTATCGTGAAGATGTGGGCTTGCACCGCGTGCCGGTGCAAACGCAACAAAGCAAGGTGGTCGCGAAAGCAGCCTCATTACTCTTGGTACGGCGTTGCGACGTGGTGGAGGCACTCGAAGTCGGAGGACGATCCCAAGTTTGCGAAGCATGCCAGGGCATGCAGATTCAGATTCTCAGGCCGAGGCTGTCTCACTCGTAACCCTGGAGTGCCTTGCTTGTCGATATGATTGTGCCAGCGGCTGCTCGGGCTAAGCCCTGGTTCGACCTGGCCTGGTCAGGAATTTCTTTCTATCTGGGCGTAATCAGGGGCCACTGGGCGGGGCTAGGACGAGGACATATCTCTTCCATAGCGGTCCGGAACGCTCTCCGAGCGCCCTGCAGCGCTCTGAGAAGGCCGCGGCGCCCGTGACATCCTCCAGAGCCGCCGGATCTCAGAGATTCTCAATTTATCCTCACCCGATGTTATCCTCGACCTGGTTTCGTCTTAGGCCACTCGCCAATGTCCCCGACCAGGCGAGCAATAGCACACAGTGGATGGGGGGCGGACGAGGAGGACCGGGCGGGGGGAGCGGAGGGCACGCGGGGTGCAGAACTCCGCGAAGAGGGTCGGGTGTGTGGCACCGCTCGGACGCGTGCATTTTGTTCCTGGCGAGGGCCATCGAGGAGCATTTGGGGTCATCGTGCGAAACATAAGCCCGCGGAGCCGAAAAATGAATGGAGAATGGACGTCCGAGCGATGGCGAGGGATGGACAATGCCAGGGGCAGGGTCGGATGGATGGCCACGGAGAGAAGGGCGTGCTGGGCAGTCAGCCAGGCGGCAAGCGGCAGCCGTCGGAGGAGGGACAGGTAATCGCTACCACCCGCCTTTTGTCCCCTTCTTGGACCTCCTGGGAGGCCCTCGTCGCCACCGACCGCTGGATTCGCCTCGAAATTTTGGTCTGAACGCACCCCGGGAGATGTCCAGGGAGTAGCGGTATGGGTACCTTCTGGTTTCCCCAGTGTTGGGCAGTCAGCCAAGCGGCAAGCGGGAAGCGGGGTGTGCGGAAGCGATGGCCAGGCTGCGCCTTTCGACGCCCATTTTTTTCCAGGTTGCACCTCGGGAGTTCAGCTCAGCATCGGCGCTGGCATATCCGAGGTCGAACATTTGCCTATGCCTAATCTGGCGTAGACTCGCTAAATCCTGACAGAGCGTGAATTTCCTACCCCGCTTTCGCTTCCAGGCGAAACCAAGTCATACCACGCGCCTCCTCGTCAAGCGGCCTGACCAGTACAGGCCGTAGTTTGGCATCGCTGGGTATCTCTTGGACGGCGAACGGGCCTCACCTTGGGCCGAGACCTCGGAGCGACGCCCGGTCAAACAAAGCGTCACTGACGCCGACAAGATCAGAAGATGTCAGGAGCTTTCTGCAGAGGCGCAATACTCCAAGAGTTGTTCCAGCTTGGTCAGCGAGCCGCCGACAGCCGTAACCGACGACGTCCTCCAGCAAATGCGCCGCAAGCATTCGCGGAGGCGTCAGCAGGTGGACTTGGCTGCCCTCCCCGCCGTGCATGCCGCGGCCGCCTTGCAGGTCGACGAAACCACGGTGGCGAAGGATTTCCGGGCTTTCCGTTTCCGGCCGCAGCACCTGAAAGAGGCCCTTGGCACGGCGGCCCACCGGGACGAGGTCACAGGACAGCTGCGCAGCCTGGTCGCCTTACTCGCTCGCGGCCACGCGCCCGCCTCCGTTTCGAAGTGCTTCGCCGGTGTTTCCCTGTGGCCCTTCCCAAGAAAGTCGGTGGCTTGCGGCCTGTCGCTGTCGGGGAGGCGGTCCGGCGCCTCGTTGGGAAGCGTCTGTGCCGCGAGGTTGCCGGCGCGGCGTGCGACCGCCTGGCGCCGCTCCAGGTCGGCGTCGCGGTGCCCGGAGGGGCCGATGCATTTGCGCATGTCGCCCGCCAGTGGTGGGGGTGCAACCTGGGGCACCGCGGGAGGGTTTTCGTCAAGCTCGACCTTTCCAACGCGTTCAACACCTTGAACAGAGAGGCTCTGCTTCAGGCACTCCACGAGGAGTTCCCCAGTTTGGCGCCCTGGGCCGACTGGTACTACTCGCGCCTGTTTTTCCTCCGTCTCGGCAAGCACAGGATCTGCTCGGAGCGCGGCACTCAGCAACGCGACCCTCTTGGACCTTTGCCGCTCCCGACCCTGCCCCCTGGCCAGGTCGACCTGGAAGTGTTCTTCCTGGGCGACGGGGCGCTGGCGGGCGACTGGCGCGCCGTGGCGCATCTCCTCCACGAGCTGGTCACCGCCCTCGCCGCGATGGGGCTCGAGCTCAGCACTGGGGAGGGGAAGTGCGAGCTATTTCCGATTGGCGGCGCCGACTCCACAGTGGACCTTGCCGCCTTCCCGCGGGGGTTCAGCCTCTACGCAAACAGTAGTTTTGAGCTTCTCGGGGCGCCAGCGGGCGACGACGACTTCTGCTGCCAGCGCGCGAAGAAACGGGTTCGTCGGCGCAGGAACTCTTGGACTCGCTGGGGACACTGGAAGAAGCGCAGGTCGCCTTGCACCTCCTGCGCCAGTGTGCATCGTTTTGCAAACTGGGCTATAGCGCGCGGGTGGTCCCGCCCACGGCGCGCGCAGCGGCTCTGCAGTCGCTGGGCGACGGGACAAGGGCTCGCCTCGAGCAGGCGGCCGGCTGCTCGCTCAACGACGCGTCTCGGCGGCAGGCGCAACTCAAGGTGCGCAAGGGGGCCTGGACTTGCGCTCGGGCGAGGAGCACGCGGCCGCAGCCTACGTTGCCTCCCGGGCCGCCTGCTCCGCCCTCTGCAGGCAGCTCTACCCTAGCTACACCGACGCGGCGGGGCGCGACGGGGGCCCGCTCGCGAACGCTGCGCAGGCCCACAACGCCTCCGTCTCGGACGCGGACAGGGTGGTTTTCGACCCGGTGCAGCGCGGCAGCCAGAAGAGATTCGACGACGCCGTTGACGACGCGGCGCTCGCGAGCCTCCAGACTGGCGCTTCCGTTGCCACGCGGGCGCCCCTGAGCTTGCCCCAGGCGCCTGGCGCTGGTGCTTTCCTCCAGGCGCCGCCCAGCGAGGCCGCCGGCACCCGCTTCACGCGCGGCCTCTGCCATGTAGCTGTCCAATGCAGGCTCCGCGTGCAGCTCCTGGACCGCGGCGACTTCTGCCCCGCCTGCGGAGACGTGATGGACGTCTGGCTAGACCGCGCCGTTGCCTGCTCTAGCCGCGGCGACAGGGCGAAGCGCCACGACTCGCTTCGGGGCCAGGGGTTCGTCGACGCGCAAGCAGCCGGCTTCGCGGGGGCGGAGCTGGAGCGGCCGGGGCTCCTCCCGCCGCGCGCAGCCAACGAAGGGCCACCGGGCGGCGAGCAGGACGTCCCGGACCTGGGCGCAGGCGACAGGCGCCCCGCGGACGTCTACCTGCCCAGGTGGCGCAACGGGGTGCCAGCGGCCTGGGACTTCGCGGCCACTTCTGGCACGCGCGGCGACCTCCTCGGCGCGTCTGCCGCGCCCCCCAGCGCGGCCGCGGAGAGTTGCGAGGAGTTCAAACGCCAACGCTTGGACGCCGAGCGCCAGTGCGCGGCGCAGGGCTTCACCTTCGCACCCGTGGCGGTGGAGGCCCACAGTGGCGGGTTGGGGCGCGAAGCCCGGAGAGCGTCTGCGATCTTGGCCAAGCGGGTGGCGGACTTCACTGGCGAGGATGCTGCCGCAGTGGCAGACCGGCGCGCCCAGCGACTCTGAGTTTCTTGCGTCGGGAGAACGCTCGGGCGGTGTTGCGACGGCGACAACCGTCGGCGTGGGTGCCCGTTGCGCGCCTCGCAGCGGCCGCGGCGGCGGCTGCGGCTGACGCCATCTGAGTCGCGGTCGCCGTCGGCGCTGGCTGGCCCTCTGCCCCCCCCTCCCCCTGACGGCCCCTGACCCGCGACACCCCCGACGGTCGACGACCAACGGCGACTCCCAGCGCCGCGACGACCCACGACGAACTCCCGCGACGTCCCCGCGACGAACCCCGCGACGACATTCGTTCCTCCCCCCCCCCGCCCGCCCCCGTCGTGCGCGCTTGCCCTCTGCTGCTTTTGCTGCTTCGCCTCGCCTCCTGCATGGTTGTGTCTGCTCGTCGCGTTTTTCCTTTGTTTCCTCGCCTTTCCCCTCTCCCCCCTCCTCCCCCGCCTCGGGCGCTCGAGGCCTTTCGGGCCTGGCCGAAGGCCCTTCCCGCCGACGGGGGCAGCGGGGTCACGCCCCCTCTGCGGGCCCGCCCGTCGGCAGGGCGCGACGCCGCTGGCGCGCCGCATCGCCCGCCCTTGCGGCGGCGCCCGGCTGGAATTTCAGCATGCGTCCAGCACGATTTTTTCTTCAGCCCCGTGGCCGTCCACGCCCCGCTGTGGCCGCAGCCGCGGCAGGCCGCCGGCCAGGCTGCCCGAAGGCACAGAAACCACTTCTCAGGAGGCGTGGGGCCTTCTGAGAATCTACCCTTCTCAGGACGCCTTCTCTCAGGAGGGGTAAAAGCGCACAGACACTATCAATCGTCGATTCCAAGGAAAATTGGAAAATATGGTTGACAGAAACCCAGAACATATAGGAACATAGTGGAAATCTTTTTAGTTGTGTGTCCCAGGGCCCTTTCATTCTCCTTCTGAGAAGGCCTTCTCCTTCTCACTTCTCCCCCCGCTCTCGGCGCCGATCAGAAGCCCCGCCGCTCTCGCAGACAAGCCCGCCCGCCCCCTGCGCGCCGCCTCCCCGCCTGGGCGCCGCCGAGCCCCTCTGCCTGAGGGGCAGCGACAGAGGGGGGGACAGGCACGACGGGCGGTCGGGGCCCGAGGCGGGGGGGGGGGGTCGAGGTTTCGAGTTTCGCATTCGAGCGTTTTTGTGCATTTTCGTCGGTTCGCGGCGGCTTTCCAGCCCCGGGGCGCTTTCCAGCGGCAGCGCCTCGCCGAGGGCGTTCCGTGGGGGCCAAAATCGTCCCGAACGGGCCGCCTGAGAGCCGAGGTATGGCCCGAAAGCCACTGGGCACGGGGATGAGCATAGGGGGGGGCGTATCGACCTCCAGTCGCCCGCACATTTCCGCGAGGGGTCTGCCAGACCCACACCGCCCAGGAAGAGGTGCGGATTCGGCGTTGGGGGCCATCGCCGATGTATCGGCGATGTATCACCGGTTCCCAGTCGATGCATCCTCCCTTACAGTCAAGATGCTGCAATAAATGCCGGTTTGGGTTCGGAAGGGGCTCGCTGTTCCTCAGGTAGGTCCGTGGTTGTTCCTCCAGCCCCCGTCGTGCACCCACTGCTCTGCTGGTGCCGGGAGTGGGCCTCGTTCCCGACTCGATGCTCTTTCTTGCAGCAGTTTGACTCTCGGCCAGCCGCCCCTCCCTCCTTGTCCTTGCCCCTCACCGCCTCTCGAGGGGTCTCGTCGCTGCGCCGAGCCGCCGATGGCGGTGCTGCTCGCGGCCAGCGCGCCGGCAGCGGGCGCAGAGCAGGGCCAGGCCTGCCTCGGCGCCGTTGACAGGTGGGGTGTCGTTATTACGGGGATACGTCGGACTCGAGTACGCCGGAATTCGGGCTTGCCGACGCTTTTTGACGAACGCGTCCCAAATTTTGACGGTCCAGTTTCCGCGAGATGTTTGCCGCGGGAGCTCGCGTCAAATCTCAGACTGGGTTTCATCATTTCCATGATGGATGGCCCCGTCAGGCCAACCCGAGTCCTCCGAACCCGAGTATTACACTTCCCTGATTGTTTGTGGCGAGCGAGGGGGGAGAAGTGAGAAGGAGAAGGCTTTCTCTGAAGGCGGCGGGGTTTCTCAGAATGCCTCTGATCTTCAATGCTCCGAAAACTTCTCGGAAGGCCCGAGGACTTCCGAGCCTTCTGAGAAGGCCCGCCCCTTCTCGCCCCCCCCTGGGCGCGCCGCCGATTTAGAAGTGGCCCTGCCAAATAATAGCAAACATTGCGCAAACATACACCTTCGGAGCGCCGCGCGGGTTTCTTGGCTCTGGATGCCACGGTCTCGCCCGCCTGGCCGAAGAGCTCGAGGGAGAACAATCTGCACAAAGACAAATTGGCGGAGGTCCGCGCGGCTTTCCTGGATCCACGCGGGGATCCGAGCGTTCATTATGCCTTGTTTGTGTTCCTCTAGAAGTGTTCCTGGCCCAAGCCTTAGATCCTGGCATTGCATTTTTTTCACATCGGGCGTTTTCGCTTTCTTTCGGGCCCCAGGACCCTCACAGATCGGACCGGCTCGAAACATGGCGCAGAAAGATGGGGTCCGAGGCTCTGGTCGGCATTTTTCACGACGTTGCCATTTTTTCGCAGCGTCGACTCTCAGGGAAGGTGCCCCCAGCTTCCGCGCCATCCTGGGGCCTCTGGGGCCCTCTGGGCCTCGTGGGGGCTGCTCCCTGGACGCCGTCTGCATTTTTGGGGGACGAGTGGCCGCACTGGGCCAAGGCCTTGGCATCGCTCGGACGTGTGCATTTTTCCTTCGGCGAGGACCATCGAGGAGCATCCTCGATCATTTGGCGAAAAAGCCACGCACGAAACCGGAAAAAAAACACAGGAAATGGACGTCCGAGCGAGGGCTAGAGGCCGCTTCTGGCAACGCCCGGGCAGGGAGCTGCACCACCTGTACCACGACGCGTTCATGAAGTGGGGCGACCCGGAGGCTCGAGGCCTCGTTGCCTCCAGGGCAGCGTTAGGGGGGGGGATCGGCTTCCCCGCCTGGGCCGGTCCGCACCGAACGTGCCCCTTCGTTGTCGTCGTCGTCCTCTGCCTCCGTTGCCTCCTCCGCCTCCGTTGCCTCCTCCGCCTCCTCCTCCTTCCGTTCCTCGGGTCGTGGCCAGGCCCCGAGCCAGGCCCCGAGCGAAGGTGGTGCGCGCAAGTCGGACCGATCGGGGTGGGTGCAGAATGCAGGAGGAAGGGGGACGAAGACCGACAGCGTCTCTTGCCCATAATGACGAGGAATCGCTGTCGGTGCCGCCGCAGGTGTTACGTTGTCCTCGTGAGCCAAGAAGTCGCCTGCCCAACAGCGGCCGCAATGTATCGTTTATTGGTCAGCATTCCCTGTTTGGCATCGTGGCCATTTTTCCGAACCCAGTTTGGTCTTGCCACGTCCAGAGGCCGACCCTGAGCGGATTTCGGCAGGGAGGACCTGGCAGCCTTGCAGGGACAACTCCGCTCCGGTCGATCCGCTTCGATCTCGGTTCTGGCTCTCCTGACGATTCTTGCCCGATCTGATTCTGACCCGACCCGATTGTGGCCCGATCCGATTCTGACGATGCTTGCACGGCGTTGTTGTGCATCCTGGCGCAGCCGGTCCAGTTCGGCTTCGACTCTGTGTCTGTTCAGGCTGATCCGACGCAAATTCGGACTCGATCCGATTGCCCGATTTGATGTTGACTGGTCCTGTCTGGAGGGATCCAAGGGGAACAAGGCAGGGTGGGTTGGCCCAACCCCCTCGCCTCAAGCCAAATACGGTGGCGCACACCATGGTGGCGCGAGGGTGTGGCCTTTAAGAAGGCAGGGGGACTCTTACAAGACAGAGCCCTTCTTAGAATCGCCCGGAGGCTTCCAAGAAGGCTTGTTGGTAGCCTCTGGGGCCTTTTGAGAAGGCCCTTTCCTTCTCAGAAGCCACCCCCCTTCCTTTGAATGCCGCCCCCCTCGCTCCACGCCCGTGGGTTACGCGCCGCCAAACCGACCGCGTCCGCCTGCATCAGCTTCTCGACTGGGCTCTGCCGCGCCCGCGCTGGCCCCGAGAGCCCCGTCTCAGCCGCTGGCCGGCGGACTCGCGCGACGTTCCGTCTCGTTCTCAAGTTCTGGGGCGGGCGGGGTAGGACAGGAATGAATCCTGGCAGAGCGTTCCTGAACGCTCTCAGAGCGTCCCAGAGCGCTCTGGAACGGCCGCGGCGCCCGATGCACCGTTCTCGGCCGCTGGATCTCAGAGATGCCCGATGTATTCCGGCCCGATGTTGTCCCTGTCTCGGCTTTGTCTCATTGGGTCTCTACGCCGGGCGGTCTCGCCCTCGTTTTCTGGCATGCCGTAGCGCGAGTGGCATGGGAAGTTTGCCGCCCACCTCTTCCCTGCTCGACTTTCGGAGTTCCGTGCGGATCTCTCGGATCGGCGCTGGGCTCCCCCCTCTGGCGAGCGGAGCGCGCCAGGGGCGGCGCTGGAGGCGCCGCCAGGGGGGGCCCAACTCAGGTTCAAGAAATCTGCGCGGACCTCCGACAGGTTGTAATGATGCTGTTGTTTCTTATATCCTCATGTGGTGCGTGTACAACTGGAGAGAATATCAGAGAACATGTCGGCGACGGGGTTGTTCCAGCCCCCTCCTGCGCCCCCCCCCATTTTTGGGAGGCCGTCCATCAGGGGCAACAAGAGGGGCGTAGACGGAGGAGGAGAAGGAGATGAGAGGAGAGAAGAGACGGAGGATGAGGAGTAGGAGGAGGAGCAGAAGCAGGAGGAGGAGGAGGAGGAGGAGGAGGAGGAGGAGGAGGAAGAGGAGGAGGAGGAGGAGGAGGAGGAGGAGGAGGAGGAGGAGGAGGAGGAGGAGGAGGAGGAGTATGAAAAGGAGCATGGTCAGGAGGAGGAGGGGAGGGTGTGTAACTAGGATTGATGACGATGGCTCTGCTGCTGCTGCTGCTGCTGCGGTTGCTGCTGCTGCTGACGACGACGATGACCGCACTGGTACTGTCGCTCTAGGAGCAGTGTCCGATCCGTACCTTCTCAGCGCCTTCAAACGATTGAGCACACGGAATGGCCTGCCGCCTGCCTCGAGGTCTGGAGATAGAAAGACCTGCTCCGAGTACCTGTCGATCGGAGTTCTGCGCCGCCCTTGCGCTGGGGAGGGATGCTCCCTCGGGCAGTCTGCAGCGCCCTGGTTCGCGGAGTGGCCTCAGGGGCTGCCCTGCACTCCCAGGGCAGCAAGGCCGACGGCTTTCAGCCGCAGTAGTGTGCCCAATGACTCTGGAGAGCGCCGGGAGGCAGGTGTCGGAGCGAGTGGGCTCGTTCCTTGGGCGTTGCCCCGCCCGCCGCCCGTCCTTCCCAGACATCCGGCGCCGTGTTTTCTATTCATGGCGCCGGCCCCCAGAAGCTTAGACCCCTTCCGGGGGATCGCTTCTTCGTCCCGAGGCGATCTTTGACGGTCCGAGGGGCCTTGTGAGGGCCCTGCCTGCGAAGGTGGACCATTGTCCGAAAGCCGCCCGTCGTGCTTTTTGTTCATGGCGTGAGGAATTGCGGGCCGCCCATGTGCAGTTCCCTCCTTGCGTGGCCCCCAAGGGCAACTCGGCAAGGGCTGCAGGGTGGATCCTTCTGAGGCTCCGTTATCGGACGGGCTCCTAGAATCGAGATAAAAATTCGATCCAGAATTCTGGAACGCTCTGAGACGGCCGCTGTGCCCGATGCATCCTCCAGAGCCGCCAGATCTCAAAGATTTTAGATTTACCCTCCCCCAGATTTATCCTCGTCTGATGCAGGGTGCACCCCTTTTCCCTTTCCAGCCCCCTCTGCGGACGCGGGCGAGCTGCTCTGAGGCGCACTGCGGCCTCTGCCCCGCCTCTTGCCTCCTCCTTTCCTGCCCTCTGTAAGTCGAAGGGCCAAAAACGACGTAAGCATGATTTTCCGCGCTCCGCGCGGACCTCAACAGGTTTGTGTGTGTGTGTGTGTGCATTTTGTTCTTTCCCTGGTAAAGGTGGCGAAGAGGTTTCCTCGAGGTCTCCTCCTCCAAAGGGGAGGCCTCGGGGAGATCTTCCCTCCCCCTCCGGGAGGTCTCTCCGGAGGTTCCCCATTGGAAGGGAGGAGACTTCCCAGAGGCCTCCCCTCCCTCTTCCATCCTCTCGTCCTCCCTTCCCGACCGGCTACCAGACACCCCACGTTCTTCCAAAGACAGCCCATCGAGGTCCCATAGGCCACAAGATCCAAGATGCCCCAACAAGCCCCGAGAAGCCTTCAAGGGATGCCAAAAGCGGCTCCAGCGAGCCCTCCCCCTCTCCCTCCCCCTTCCGTCTCCTCTTCCCCGTCTCCGCACCCGCTGCCCGTCCCCAGCCCCGCCCCGTCTCCCCTTCCCGCCCGCCCCCTCTGACCCCGTCTCCCCCTCCTCCCCCCTCCTCCTCCTCAGCCACCTCCTCCTCGCCCCCCGCCCCCCCCTTCGGATGCATCTCCTGGGAGCTCAAATTCTGATTTTGCCCTGGTCCGAAATACGGCTTACTCCCGTTGAATTCCGCTTACCCTGGTTTAATATGAGGCCCTTTCCGGCGTGACAGCATCCCAATGGGGCTTAATCATGTTTAATCCTTCCAACTCCTAACTCCCCCCTCTTAACTCCTAACTCCTAACTCCCCCCTCTAACTCCTAACTCCTTCCCTTAACTCCTAACTCCTCCCCCCTAATCACCCAGTAGTTGCCTCCTAACTCCCCCCTCTTCCGCCTCGCCCAGCTCGTGCGCGAGTTCCACTCCCTGGGGCCCGGGCGGCAGCGCTCGGTGCTGTCCACGCTGCGGGAGCACGTGGAGGACAGGTGCCCCCCAGGGAGGTGTCGACTGCGGAGCAGCCCTGCCCTGTCCGATCCCTTCCCTTGTTGGGTGGTGCTGCTAAAGGTTCTGTTGCATCTTCGGGGGACCTCGCCTGTCCCCAAAATCTGTGTCTTTTTGGGGGCCCGACGCGTGCTCGATGCGGACTCGACGCGGATTTGGCGTGGATTCGACGCGGATTCGACACGGATTCGACACGGATCCGACGCGTCCGACATGGATTCGACACGCATTCGACGCGGACAGGGCCGCGACGGGATAGACAAGGTCCCCCGAGGATGCAACATAATAAAGGGCTTCACTGGTAGGGACTTTTTTTTTCGGTGGCAACTCCTGGGAGGTTTCATTCATGCTCGGCGCTGGTATATCCGTGGCCGAAGACTTCGTCATTTGTCCGGTTGAGCGCCGTTTGCGTAATCCGACGTGATATTTTTTTCATCCTTGAACTGTCCGAGTCCAATCCGGTTTCATGCCAACGGAGGCCGAAGTTCGCAATAAATTTCCCCATTAGTCTGCAGGAGGGAAGGATGACAGGGCCTGCAGCGGTGCTTACCATGAGCCCTGTCTCGCAGGTCTAGTGGTTGACACCAACACCAATATCGGTGGTGTGCCTCCACCGAGGGAAGAGGATCCCGATCTCGGTGATGGTGGTAATATTCTTGCTTCCAAGGTGGCCGAAATATTGCCACCAACACCGAAATCTAGGATCATCTTCCCCATGTGGAGGCAGCCCCCTGTGCTGGTGTTGATGCCAATTCCCAGGCCTCCAACTGTCATCCGCCCATTTGACTCGTTCAACCCGCGGCCCCAGAAGCCCCGACCACTCCCCTGAGGTAGTTCGCCGCCCAGGATCTGTCTGTGATGGTCCCGGGTCCGACCAGCGGCCCCAAGGGCTGTGACATCGACGATCTCGCCCCGAGTGGAAACATCATGTCAAACTCAGCATCGGCGCCGGTGTATCCGTGGGCGAGAGCCGCTGTAATCCGGGCTACTGTGGCCCACTCCGTTGCAAAACCCAGCCAGCCTCGTTGAATTCTGAGGTCCGCGCGGGTTTCTGGGATCGGCGCTGGACCCCCCTCCTTGGCGCGCTCCGCGCGCCGGAGGCGCCGCCAGGGGGGTCAGCGCCAGTCCGAGAAATCCGCGCGGACCTCCGAGTTTTTATGTCTCGGTCATTGTCCTGGCATCGCTTGGACGTGTGCATTTTTCTCTCGGCGAGAACCATCGAGGACCATCCTCGACCAACGAGCAAAAAAAAAACATGCACGAAACCGAAACATGCACGGGAAATGAACGTCCGAGCGACGGCGAGTTTTTTGTTTATGTCATTGTTCGTTCCCCTACAGTCAAAAACCCTAATAAGGACGCGCGACTTTGCTCAGGGTACCCTTGCGCCCTTGCTCTTCCTTGCTCTTGCGTCCTTGGGGTTTTCGTCGTCCGCCGCCCCAAAAATCCCAACTTCGGCTTCCAAGGGTCTTGCGTTCTTACCGCGCGTCCTTATCAGGGTTTTTGATTGTATTATCGGGCCCACTCCTGGGCTCAGTCTGGTCCGATCTTGCGCCGAGCGGCCCATTCCTCTGGCTGCACCGCCCTGCCTCGTGCTCACGCTGCTCCCCCCGACTGGCTCCCAGGCTTACCATCATAAGTCGGGCCCGTCCCTCTACAGGAGGAGTATTCAAAAGCAGTCAATCCATATCCCAGGCCTACCATGAAGTCGGGCCCGTCCCTCTACAGGAGGAGTATTCAAACATAGTCCATGAATAGTCTGAGGACGTTTTTTTTGACTATGTCCATTCGTTTTTGTTTGGGGGGGGGGGTATTTTTTTTAGCTTTCGCCCCAAACTCCCCCTGTAGTGGGACACGCCCGACGTAAGCCTTCCATGAGGGCGGCTCTTCGGTTGCATCGCCAGAGTGTCCTCTGCGGCGCGGCTTCTCCCGGGGGGCGCGGGCGGCCCGAGCCCAAGCACACAGGCCAAGCACTGCCGCACCGCATGCGGCGCTCGGCGAGCCGCGCACGACAGGCCCCAGACGCTTGGCCGCTCCGATTTTTCCGAGGCGAGGGCCCCCATCACCACCCACCAAACCACCCCAACCCAACCCGAAGGCCTCAATTTGCCCTCCATTTCCAGTTGGGGGGGGGTCGGGGAACATTGAAAAACACATGCGGAACCCGTACCCCCCCCAACCCGAAATTGGGGTCTTCGGGTTGGGTTGGGGTGGTCTGGTAGGTAGCCACCCCAGGGGTCTGGACCGCTTCCCTGGGGCCGGCTTTTCGCTCTGAGCCGGTTTTTGACGGTCCCGGGGCCCCCTGAGGGCCCCCTGAGGGCGCAAGTTTTTGACGGTCCCGGGGTCTGGACCTTTGTGGGCCCCGGAAACGGCAGGGCAGTTTTTTCACCGTTTCCCCAAAAATGTCACTTGGGAATGGAAGCGGCAAAAAACGGCGACCGGAAACGGCAAAAAGCGGCTCCAGGATTGGAACCTGAGCCGGGATCGGTCAAAAAACGGCGACGGAACCGGTAACAAAAACGGCGTCGGAACCGGCAACAAAAACGGCAAAACGGAACCGGTAAAAAAACGGCCCTGTCTTTTCCAGGGCCCATTAAGGTCTGGACCGCTTCCCTGGGGCTGGCTTTTCGCTCTGAGCCGGTTTTTGACGGTCCCGGGGCCCCCTGAGGGCCCCCTCAGAGGCCGAACGCGGCCGAACACCGGCAGCTCCCGTTCCTCACGGAGCCTCCGATCTCTGGCGTCGCTCCTGCCTGGGCTCACTCGGGCGTGCAGCCGAGGCTCTTCTGACTTCCAATTGGAGTACGGGATTGTCTACAGAATTGACTTTCCCCAAATTGACTTTCTCGTCGAGTCATACGTCGGATGTTTGTAGATCTACGAACGCCCTACGCATTTCGCATGGCTTCGACGAGAAAATCGATTTGGGGGATAAATCAATTCTGTAGTCGATCCCCTACTCGACCAATGGTACTGGACAGACCTCCCTTTAGTAAAACGTGGTTTAGTGAAAACGACCTGAGGCCCAAACCTGGCGGGCGCAGGCCTGGAAAATAACGGCCACGGCGCCGCCTCGAGAACCGAAAACGGACAGTTCACTAATGGACGTGTCACTGTTGGAGGTTCCGTCCACCCCCGAGGTACCGCGACCTCGTCGCCTCGCGGGCCTTCCGCTGCGCGGCCGAGGGCGACGGGGACCCGTTGGACGCCGCCGAGCGGGCCGCGGCGGCCGGCCGCGCCGGCGGCGGCGGCGGCGGCGGGGCGCCGTGCTGCCTGCAGCTGGCGCTGTGCCGCGCGGTGGGGCGGCGGCTGGTCGACCCGCGGCTCCTGCTCGGAAGCTGCTGCTCCATGCCAGGTTTTTTTTGAGCGTCGGGGACGAATTACCAGCCCAGAACATATCCCTATCCCTATTTTGGGCATCGCCTCATCACGATGGCGATCTTAGGGATTCCCTTAGTTTCTGAGGGTGCATCTCTAAGATTGTCATCGCCTTTTGGCGTGTCAATCTCAGGGATAGGGATACGTTCGAGGCTGGTAAGTGGTGTATACTTGTTTCCCCGTCTTCCCGCGGAAGCAACAAACAAATGTATACACCAGGATGCCGTACACACCATGACCCGTCACCATGACCCGTTTTCTGGTGCGAATCTCAGTGCGGGACCGGAAACCAGCATCGGTGTAGAACGTTCGGTTCCTTACCTGCGTTCCGCAATCTCAGGGGAGGAGGAGGTACGCATACTTGCTGTACGTGTGCAGTCCCTTGCAAACGAGGGTGCAGATGATCGCGAGATGGGGTTTAGCACTCATCGCCTGGAGACTGCACTGGGTCATGTAGCGTCTCTTGGGTTGTGGAGGACGATCAATGGAGAGGAAGCATGTTGCCAAATTATTTCCAGATGTCTAAAACATGTATCAAACATGTTTAAACATGTAAAGCATGCTTGAACAGTTTTTTGTTTTGTATAACATGTTTTATACATTTTAAGCACATCGTTAATTCAATGATAGGATTGTTAAACTGTCCATTGTCATGGCATCCACAACTCTTGGGGCATGTCGTTCACTGCATGGGTGCAAGAGGCATTGGGCAGCCATACCGCTGCGCTTGCCTCGTTTTCCTCATTTTGGGCCTCCTGGGAGGCCCTCGTCGCCACCGCTGGATTCACCCCAAAATAGCTGTGGAAGGGCGCGCCTTGTGGCGCACTGCTCACTGAAAGGGGGGCCCCAGCTTCAAGCTACCACCCCCGTTCCCGTGGAAAAGGAGGGGGAGCTTCCGAAGCTAACCCCTCCATCCTTCCCCTTGGTGGGCATTTTGTAGCTGGGGGGGCCCTAGCTCAAGGTGGGGAAGCTTGGAAGCTACCCCCCCCCTCCCCCCTTTCCAGGACCAAAGGTTAGCCCTGGCTTCCCTTTCAAAGGGGGGGTGGCTCCGGAAGCTACCGCCCCCTCCTTTTCGCAGCTGAGATTGGTTTGCCGAGAAGGGGGGTGGCGCTCCTTTGTTTTCAGGCGCCTCTTTTGGCACTTTTGGGGCCTTCTGAGCCCTCTTGGGGCGGGAGGCTCGATGTGTCGGTTCGTGTTAAAGTTCGAGGGCCTCTTCGGGGGGCTGTCTTGGGGCCCTCTTGGGCCTTCGGGAGCGCCTCTCGGGCCGTTTTGGAGCCCTCTCGGAAGTTAGCGCCTCTTGGGCTGTCTTGGGGCAGTCCCGGTGGCCTCTTGGTTCGTCACGGGACGTCGGAAGCTCGAAAAGGCGAGAACCCAAAACGCACGCAACCGCCTCAGGGACAGCTGATGTTTGCCATTCGATGCCCTCTTGGGAGGGCTCGTGGAGTTTGCTTGGGACTCCTCGACGGCCTCGGGGGCCGTCTCGAATCCGTTCTGGGCGGTCTCGAGGCCAACGTGGCCCGTATTGGAGCGACGTTGGGCCGTTTTTTTAATCATTTTGGCCTCGGGAGCGCGATCTTGTCATATTTTTGAAACGGTTGTGACCTTGGAGACCACGGTGCGATCACTGGGACGTCGGCCCTGGAAGCGCGCCTCCCGCCCCCGACGCCTGGCTCCTCTGCAGCCCGCGCCCGCCGCGGAGGCGCGGACGGCGCGCGGGCGCGGCGGCCGCGGAGAGGCCGCGCCGCGCGGCGGAGCGCTTCCAGGGCTTTTTGAAACGGGGGGCGATGCGCGCAGAAACGGGACGACTGGGAGAAGCGGGGGGGGCCTTGGAACATTACAGGAACCCGGCCAGACAGATCTGAGCTCTCCTCCACGCCTCAACGTGCACAAGGAGGCGGGCAGATTTGGATCCGAATGGGTTAGAATGCAATCGCGACGCCAGAACTCAGTTTTTGCTTCGTCGGGAATTCCCAGGCTGCCACCGTACGAGGGCTGAGTGAGAAGGCTTGCCCCGAGAATATTGCGCATGCATGCGTGAGTTCGCGACTTGTTCACGCAGCCTGGCCCGCGGCCCCCTCCTGACCTTGGGTGGCGTGGGAGAACCCGGAAGCCTAGATGTTGACACCAACACCAGTATTGGCGGTGTGCCTCCACCGAGGAGGGATGGTCCAACTCTCGGCGATGGCGGTAACATTCTTGCTTGTAGGCGGCCGAAAGATTATCATCAACACCAAGCAACATCTATAATCACTTGTTCCTGGCGGAGGCAAACCCCACTCGTTGGTGTTGGTGTTCATTCCCAAGCCGAGGTTCCCGAAAACGATCGCAGCAGCACGACAGGTGTTCTGTCCTGGCCTCTGGGCCTTCGGGCCCGTGCGGGCCGATGCGGTGCGAAGACTCCCGCACCGGGATGAGGCTGGGGGGCTCCTGCCGCGACGCTTCGCGGCGTCGGCACCCCGATGCTGTCTTGAAGTCGCTGGTTCCGACGACGCGCTGTCGGCATACTTTCACCCGTCAGGTGGGGCGGCAGCATCGTGGGAGTCGGCAGTGAGATTTTGGTGCCCGATCTCCGGGTAGCACCGCAATTCGGCATCGCGGCGCCCTGTTTCACCTTGCTCGCGCGCCGTCTGGCGCTAGGCTTCTCGTTCGTTCGTTCGGCACCCCGATTTTGAGACTTAGATCCCGATGTCGCCTTCTTGCCATCGCATTTCGTATTCTAACGCTGTGCGGTTCTGCTGCACAAGCCAAGGTTCTGCGCGCAGGCTCGCCTATTGCAGGTCGGTCTTCGCGTGGATTCGGGCTCGCTTGGTACACATCGTGTGCAATTCGTCCGCATCAACGTTCGCAGGGGAGTTCCCCGATGCTGCCCCCCCAAGATAAATGCCTTCCGAGAAGCCCTATCGGGAGCCCCTCGAGGAGGGGGCCGATCCCTTTGGAGAGCCCCCCCGCCCTCTTATATCGAGGGCGCCGCCAAGATGCTGTTGAATCTGCTGTTCGAGGGTGCTGTCGGTGGGGACTGCACAGGGATGCCGTGCCAGGCATGCGATGTCTTTTCTTGGCATCGCTCGGACGTGTGCATTTTTCCTTCGGCGAGGACCAGCGAGGAGCATCCTTGATCATTTGGCGAAAAAACCGCGCACGAAACCCAAAACAAGACAGGGAATGGACGTCCGAGCGATGGCTAGTTTTTGCTTTTGTTCCGATGCGGGGCCCCGTGAGTCCCGACTCTTTCCCCAGCCCTGGCTTCTTGGCCCGAGCCGGTTTTTTCGACGCTCCCGGGACCCAGCGAGGGTCCCCGGAGCACGAGAAGTGGCAAACACATTTTTTGGATCCGCGGGTCGAGAGCGCACCTCTTCCGGTCGAAGCTAAGCGGGCCGCGCGAAGCTCGAATTAACCAGAGATGGGGGAGGGAGAGGGGGGCGCAGCCTCAGAACGAGGCCGGGAGGAGGCAAAGCTTCGGAATCAGGCGGTGCCGAAGCCGACGTACTTGCAAAGGATCGCCTTCTCCATGAATCTCGGTGGCGAGGTACCGGTCGATGCAAAATGCTGCAAATAAAAAAATGGCAAAAACATCCCGTCGTGATTTGCGCCGCGCCGCGAGCAGGTCGGGGGACGAGTCCCCGCCTCGAACAAGAGACGCCGTAGTCCTTGGCATCGCTCGGACGTGTGCATTTTTTTCTCGGCGAGGACCTTCGAGCATCCTCGACCATTTGGCGAAAAAAAACCACGCACGAAACCGACAAATGCACGGGAAATGGACGTCCCAGCGACGGCAGGGTCTGGGGACGAGTCCCCGCCTCGAACAAGAGACGCCGTAGTCCAGACCTTTTCCCTGGGGATGGCGTTGCATCCCGGGTGTGGGGGACTGGGGGTCCGGCGAGGGCCCTCGGAGGCCGAAGACCGCCAGCAACCTTCCGTAGTGATTTCTTCGCGGCGCGAGCATGCTTTCGAATCGCGAAAAGCGGAGGTTTGGCGGCCCTGCTTACCAGCCTCGAACATATCCTTATCCCTAAGATTGACACGCCAAAAAGCGATGACAATCTTAGGGATGCGCCCTCAAAAACTAAGGGAAACCTTACGATTGGCATCGTGATGAGGAGATGCCCAGCATAGGGATAGGGATATATGTTCCAGACTGGTAACCTGCGGGCCTCCGAGACATCATGTTTATGCTATCCAGTGATCCTGTATTCTGCGACGACCCTCGGCCCTTCTGAAAAGGCCCGCCCTTGTCCGAGGGCAGACGGCTTCTTGGAAAGCTGGAGAGCCCTGTCGCCTTCTGAGAAGACTTGCCCCGTATGATGCCACAGGCCTCCCCGCCAACGTGTGTTTTCTGTCGTTGGCGAGACATGTATCCGTATCCGCAGCCTCGCGTTCCAGGCCTCTGGGCTGCGACCCCGCGGATACAGGCGCATTTTTTCACGAATGCCCCGCGCGGAACGTATCCGTGCGACTGTGTAAGTGGGTGTGGAGAGAAGGTCCCCGAAGGGGCCTTTGACGGCCTTTCCTGGGCCCGTGCTGGCTCCAAGAGGGGCCCTAAGGGGCCCCTTTGGGGTCCTTTCCTTTACCCCCCGTGTAGGTCCCCCCCCCGTTGAAACCACCCGCCCGGCAGAGCGCTGAGCCACCCTCGTCCTCCTCCCCCCCGCCTCCCCCGCCCCCTGCCCTCGCGGGGCGGCGCCGCCGCGAGGCTCCTGCGTGAGCTGAAGGACGGCGCCGTGCCGCGCTTCGGGCGCGGGGCCTCGGGGCTGGCCCTGGGCGAGCAGCAGCAGGAGCGCGCCCCGCCGTGGGGGCCGCCCCACGCCGGGTGGCGACCGCACCGCGCGGCGAGTCCGTGGGGACTCGGGTTCTTCGGGCCTCCTTCGGCCACGCGAACATCGGGCCGGACGGAAGGAGGGGATTGGGAAAGGGGGGGTTACGAAATCTGCTGCATGCATCTGGTTTCGGCCCCGCCGAGGGGCCCAGTCCTCGATACACATAGCCGCCTCCCGGCGCCGGGAGGCGCCGGGAGAATCAGCTATACGTGAGCTGATTCCTCACCCCCCCCCTTTTGCTATCCTCCCCTTTCGCCCGGCCCGATCCTTCGGCCACGCGCAAAGGGGGGTATGGGGGAGGAGGGAAGGCTTCTTAGATGGACCCCTTGTTCTTGGAAGGCTCTCTGGATGTAGGGCTGGCTCCTGTAGGAATGAGCCTCCCTCTAAGAGGCCTTCCCTCCTCCCGTCAACCCCTTTGTTCGCGCCGCCAGTGGATTGTCTTGATGGGGTCGGAGCAGATGGGGTCGGAGGATCGCGCCGCATCGCGCGATGTAGCTCAATTTCGAGCCCGAATGTCTCCATGTCGACGTCGCCTGTGCATCGCCGATGCATCGGCGGTGCGGCGCGATGCTCCGACCACATCTACTCCGACCTCATCCAAGACTTGGGTCGTCTCCCCAGGACGTCTCGGGCGACTGGGGCATCCATGGAGGAACAACAAGTCACATAAACATAACAACTCGGAGGTCCGCGCGGATTTCTCGGATCGGCGCTGGACCCCCCTTCTCTGGCGCGCGGAGCGCGCCAGGGGCGGCGCCGGAGTCGCCGCCGGGGGGGCCCCAGCGCCGATCCGAGAAATCCGCGCGGACCTCCGAGTTTTTATGTTTATGTCATTTTACAATGTTTTGCACATGTTTACAAACGCGTACATATGTATGTATATATATATATATGTATATATATATGTATACAATGTTTTCATATGTAGTATATAAGTACCATATATATACATATGTACATATGTGTTTATAAACATGTATTATATGTATTATCTGTGTTATACAAATATGTAAATATGTGTATGTATACATAGGTACATCTGTAGTATATATATATGTACACATGTGTATGTGTATATCTAGAGATACATTTACGTGTATATAGATACAATCTTTACAAGCATGTACACATGTGTATGTGTATATATATATATATATATATATGTATACATACATTCATGCATCGACACCCAACCGCCCATTCATCGTTGATAGGGGCCCGAAAGTCCCACCCCGCAAAGGAAGGTGTGGTTTCACGATCGGCGGCCTGTCGCCGATCTATTGACGACGTGTCGCCAATTCTGTGTCGATGTTCCCCCCCTGAGCCGGATCCCCCCGAACGTTCTCTCTCACCTAGCACATGCGCAATAATTCTTGCCGGACAAGCATCCATGGCCCGGACCTCCTTACCTTAGCCTGGGTTTCCAGATTCGTGGATGCCACCTGTTAGGTTGCAACTCATTGGAGGTTACGTGCAGCATCAGCGCTGGTTCCCCGTCGTCAAGCCAGCCCGATCCAGCAAATTCCCGCTTAGGCCTGCTTCATCTTGCTAAGTCTGCTGCAATTCTGGGTCTAATATCTGGGCGAATCCGGCTCAGTGGCCTATTAATCGGGTCTACTAAGAGCCCCTACTCGCCCTCGCGAAACCATCCCAAGAGTTGCCTACTGATCGACCTTCAGTTTAGTTTGGTGGGCTTCTAGGTTTGGGGACGCAGCCAGGCTTCCGGGTCACAGCTCGAGTCTCTGGTGGCCCGGAACGCCCTCGGCGAGGCGCAGCTGCTGGACGGCGTCCCGAGGCTGAAATTGCCGCCCAGAGCCCCCACGGGTGCCCCAGACGTGCGCCCCGATCGCAGCAGAGGCGAAGAGGCGGGTCGAGGAGTAGGACCGGGCCGGACGAAAGGGGGGGATGGGGAAAGGGGGGGTTACGAAATCTTCAAGCAGTGGCGAAGCGTCCCGGCTCGCCTATAGCCCCACCAAGCAATGTCCTAAGAATCTGTTGCGGTTCCCACGAAATGCTCTTAGAACATTTTTGGCTGGGACTGTCATGTTTAAACACATCGGGTTTATGTTCTACGACCATTCCTTTTGTTCTTAGAACATTTTTGGGTTCTAAGAACATTTCGTGGTATGACTATAGGAATGCCGGGACGGTCAGTCCCTGCTCAGAACCTGCTGCATGCAGCTGCTTTCGGCCCCGCCGCCGGGCCCATTCCTCGATGCACATAGCCGCCTCCGGCGCCAGGAGGCGCCGGGAAAATCAGCTACACGTGAGCTGATTCCTCACCCCCCCCTTGCTATCCCCCCCTTTCGCCCGGCCCGATGGGAGGAGGTCGAGGCACGGGCATGTGTACCTCAGTGTACGTTCATACATGGATCGTGGCCGTCTGGACCAAGCATGTCGCTGTCACTGAGGCGAAAGCACTATGCATGAATGTATTGTTAGGAACTTGGCATCGCTCGGACGTGTGCATTTTTCCGTCGGCGAGGGCCATCGAGGAGCATCCTTGATCATTTGGCGAAAAATCCACGCACGAAACCGAAAAACAAACACAGGGAATGGACGTCCGAGCGATGGCGAGGGAAGGCTCGCGCGAAATTGCTGCTGGGCCTGGTGTTCTCGGGTTCCCCGCCTCCCTGTGGGACTCCTCTGAGGCTCTTTTCTTTTTGGACCACTGCTGGAGCCATCCAGCGGGACGCTGCTCAGTGGGGGCCCATGCCAAGAAACACAACGTTTGCCTCCAGGGTGCCCTGGGTTTCTCGGGTTTTGCTGTGGAAGGCGTGAGATTCCCACAAGAAAATTCAATGGACTTCCTGGGGTCTCAGGGCTGGTTCTCTCGTGGGTGGTTTCTCGTGGTCGAGCCCCTAAGTAGCAGGAGCCACGGGGGGAGGTTTTTGGCCCTCCCTGGCGGCGTTCGCCCTCTCTGGCCCCCCTGGCGGCTTCTCGTCGCCCCGAGTGACGGGTCCCAGGGTGGACCCTCGGAGGGGTGCCCCGGGCTCCTTCTCGGAGCGGCGGCTTGCTGGGCGGAAGACGGGCGGCTCCGCTTCCCGGGCCTGCCCGCGCCGTGGTAGGAGTCGCCGTGGGAGGTTTTTCTGGCCGTCCTCGGGGGTGCAAAAGCCCGGGGGCGAGGGGGTAAAAAAACCCGGGGGTGGAAAAAATCCCCCGGGTGCGGGGGTGAACAAAATCCCGGGTTGACAGAATACCCGGAGGCTTTGTCACCCCCAAGAACCAGTTTTTTTTTTCCACCAGGGTTTCCCCCCCCCCCCCCCCTGCGTTTTTTTTTGTTTTCACTCTCGGCCTCCAGGGGCCGCCCCCCTCGGGGGCTACATGCGAGCCCTACCCCTACCCCCCACGATTTTTGAGGGGGAGGGTGGGGTTCACTTCGCTCAGAGATCGTGGGGGGTAGGGGTAGGGTTCGCATGTGGCCCCCTACCCCCCCAGCAGGAGGCGGAGGCGCTGTGGCGGCGCGGCCGCGCGGGCGTGGAGGCGGGCGGCTTCTGCACGGCGCGCCGTCGGCCCTGCGGCCTGCGGGCGCCGGGCGAGCCCGTGGACCTGTCCAAGGCACGGCCCCGTGGCGCGGGGGCGGCGTTGTCTCGGCGTGCAGTTTTCTCTGGCGGGGACCATCGAGGCGTATCCTCCTCCTCCTCCTCCTCCTCCTCCTCCTCCTCCTCCTCCTCCTCCTCCTCCTCCTCCTCCTCCTCCTCCTCCTCCTCCCCCTCCTCCTCCTCCTCCTCCTCCTCCTCCTCCTCCTCCTCCTCCTCTTTCTCCTCCGCAGCAGCGCCGAAGAGGCGGCGTTGTCTCGAAGAAGAAGAAGAAGTGCCCCACCCAAACACCCTAAGAGCAGCAATCGGGGGTGGATAGACCTCCTACCCTGACACGTCGATGAAGGAACTGGCCGTTTTCGGTTCGCGGGGGGGGGGGCATCGCGGCCGTCATTTTTGCGGGCCCAGGTCCGTCGGTTTCGTCCCCAGGCCGTTTTTCACTAAGTGGAGGTTTACTAAAGAGGAGGAGGAGGAGGAGGAGGAGGAGGAGGAAGAGGAGGAGGAGGAGGAGGAGGAGGAGGAGGAGGAGGAGGAGAGGAGGAGGAGGGAGGAGGGAGGAGGAGGGGGAGGAAGGGAGGTTCGTCCATCGCCGAATCTCGAAGAAGAGGTGCCCCACCAAAAGCGCCCCTGGCGGCAGCAACGCCGAAGAGGCGGGTCGAGGAGCGGGAGGCCGGCGGTTGGACACGTGCACTGCTGAAGGCAGGGAACGCCTGGCCAGGGGCACCTCTTGTACATTCGGGAGCCTTGAGACGGGGGTCAATGCAAACGGGGGTCAGCCAGGGCACCAGTTCCTGCAGGATCCTGCGAAGACCCCCTCTGGCCGACCCGGGTTAGCGAGCCGCTCGTGGCCGCGAGGCGGCCACGCGTATTGGCTGACCCGGGTCTGCGAAGACCTGCGTTGCATTTTTTTCTTCCCCCCCCTGCATTGCAGTTTTGTAATTTCTTGCTGACCCGGGTCTGGATTGACCCCGGTCAGAAGATCCCCGATACATCGAAGAGTCGTTCTCAAAGACGCCTGCGGCGAATCACCGCCGCCCCCTGCCTTCTCGAAGTGCCCATCCGGCCAAACGTTGGGCCAAAGTCTGGCCGGGCTACTCGTGCCGTGGGCTAAACGTTGGCACCCAAACAACCACAATTCGGCGCGCCGTGCACCTTTGGCAAGCCACCAGGGGGCGGCGGATCTATTGGCCTTCGGCCTGCCCCGCCGCCGTGCCTGGGTTGCGGTCGTGGCTCCGAACATGTGATGCGGTAAGCGACGGAGAGCCGCTGGAGGCACGCCAGGAGCCCAGAAGAAGTGTGATTGTGACTGAGATTGTGGGCCTGGATCCCTCAGCACTCAATTCTGAGGACTGAGGTGTTGATGCTCAATACTTCTACGTATACTCAGCCACAGTTCGGTGCTTCCCCCCCGAGTTGGTCCCCCTCTCGCTGGCGGGCCGGAACGTCGTGAGGGATTCGCCTTGCATCTTCGTTGCTCGGCTCGAGGGCAATCTCCGATGGCCGCGCGCAAATTTGGGTCACTCGCGCGTTCCCGCGGACGCCGGCGATTCGACCTCTGTCGCGCATTGGACAAGCGTTCAAACCCTGATCGCCCCGCACCAGGACGCAGACGAAGCGACGTCGACCCCAGTCGGCGCACGCCTGCAGTTGCAAAAAGCATGTTCCTGGGCCACGCGCGCGGAAGAGTTGATGTTCGCGTTCGTCGATGGGGGAGACCCCGCCACGTTAATTAATAAACTCAGTACGGAGAGAACTCGGAAAGTGACCGATAACATATCCTGCCCATATTGAATAGGGCTTGTTGTCGGTGTGACCGCGGACGTCGTCCATTTGAGACAAACATTGCATGCTCACCGGCGGCCGCTTTCAGTGTTGTGCACCCTGTGCTTGTGTGCATCGTACCATGCACCCTGTGCTTGTGTGCATCGTGCCATGGTTTCTGTACCCAGTGTGGATGTGCCATTTTTTTGGGTAAAGACGAAATGCGGCGATGATGCTTGTCAGTATCGTGGTTGTTACCGCTATCGTTATCATGATCACTTTTGCGACTATAATCAGTCATTCACGTTGTTTCTTTCATTGGCATGCTGAGCATATCTGTGATGCAGATATTCACGTTGCAGCGTCGACGCTTTGAATCCTTCCTGTTCGTAATCCTTTTGTGATGCTATGATTTCGCGTGTTTGGAGGCCGTTCATGGGCCCCAGGACCGTATAACAACGACTCGGTTCGAGCATTGTCCTGGGCAGTAGACCGAGGGTTACGGGGCTGGCTGGTCGACGTGCTCCTATTGCACTAACCGTGTTCGAAATGATCCCTCTCCCTAAGGTCAATAAGCCCGAGGAGAAGACAATCTGAGGGATGCGCCCTGAGAGAGTGAGTGAATCATTATGGTCGGCACCGACATAAGGCGACTCCAGTCTTGGGGACAGGGATATGTTTCAGGCAGGTGATACCCTCCCTTTTTGTCATCTTTCTGTGACTTCCTGGCGTGTGTGTGTGTGTGTGCGTGGATTGTCGATCCTGTTTGGATCACTGCCCATACTTTTTGTCGATCCCTTCCTGCGTGGATTGTCGATCCTGTTTGGAGCCGGCCGCGTGCGCTCTCCACGTTCCCGCAGGACTTTCTCCGCCGCGCCGCTGCGCTCGAGGCGGCGACTGCCAAAACATACGCGTGTGTGTGCGCGTGTGTGTGTGTGTGTGTCAGGAGGGAAAAAACACAGACACGATTAATCGTCGATTCCCAAGAAAACATAGGAACATATGGGAAGTGGGGAAGACAAAAGCCCAGAACATATGGCAAAATATAGGAAACCCTGTCATTTGTGTGTATTTATTTGTGTGTCCTAGGGCCCCTTCAGTGTGGGTGTGTCAGGGGGCCGCACGCGGCGCGGGCAGCCGGCCTGGATGGGCCCCGAGATGCTTGAGGACAGGTTGGTCCCGGCCTGGCCCGGTGTCGCGCACAGGCATCCCCTGGATCACCGAGCGCGTTCCACTACTCGCAAAGCGCCTACTCGCAAACGTCCGATTTTTTTTTTTGTTTCGACGGAATTCACCGCAGATCCCCCGCGGCGGATCCATGCCATTTGCGAGTAGCTACTCTGCGGGTAGTGGAACGGGCTCGTCTACTGGAGGAGCCCCAGGCTGCCCCCGACTTGGCATCGCTCGGACGCGTGCAGTCTTTTCCCCGGCGAGGGCCATCGAGGAGCCGCAAAAACGAGAAACATCGCACACGCTGCACGGGGAATGGACGCATAGGGAAACAAAAAGTGTCATAAAAATAACAACTCAGAGGTCCGCGCGGATTTCTCGGATCGGCGCTGGGGCCCCCCGGCGGCGCCTCCGGCGCCGCCCCTGGCGCGCGGGGTCCGGCGCCGATCCGAGAAATCCGCGCGGACCTCCGAGTTTTGATGTTTATGACACTTTTTGTTCCCCTAACGCAGGAGCGATGGCAGGTCAGGAGGCCATCCGGTGCGCGCTGGCGCGGCCCCGCGCCCCGCCGGTCCGGCCGAGGCCTACCCCGTCGGCTGGAGGGAGCTCTCCCTGTTCTCCGCGCACGAGGCGGGGAGGGCGCTGGCGGTGCACGCACACCGCTCCTTCGGGAGCCTTGAGACGGGGGACAAAGCAGACGGGGGTCAGCCAGGGCGCCAGATCCTGCAGGATCCTGCGAAGGCCCCCTCTGGCCTACCCGGGTCAGCGAGCCGCTCGTGGCCGCGGGGCGGCCGCGCCTATTGGCTGACCGGGGCTTGCGAAGACCTGCGTTGCAGGTTTTTTGTGTTCTTGCATTGCAGTTTTTGGTCTCCTGCTGCAGAAGGCCCCCGAATCCCGTGCACGGGCCCCTCGTGGGCCCAGGGGCGGTGCACATGACCCCTCCCGGCTTGGCCAGGAGGGCGCACGGGTGGATCGGGAGGGGAACAAAAAGCACACGGACGCAATTCTCATCGTCGATTCCCCCGAAAATATAGGAACATTTGGGAAGTGGGGGGGAAGACAAACACCCAGAACATATGGGAAAGTATGGGGAATCCTGTTATTTGTGTGTATTTATTTGTGTGTCCCAGGGCCCCTTCAGTGGATTCTGGACCTAAGGTGGTCCTGACCAGGATCGGTGCAGGATCGGTGGGTTCGGAAGTAGTGGGGGCGAAGACCGACAGAACAATTTGCTCCTTTGAACAGGACTGGCCGCGGCGTTGCCACGAACGTTGCAACGTTGCCGATTTCAGACAGAGGTCGCCTGCCCAACAGCGGGCGCAAACGGTCTTTGACAGCATGTGCCGTTGGTTGGTAATCGAGCCCATTTTGTCGTACCAGTATATACCTGACGTGCCGGCAAGTGAGCGACAAGTGAGTTCGTTTGCGCGGACATTCGCGCGTAAGTTGTCCGCGTATGGTCGCGCATAAACGTCTTTTTCTCTAAGCGGTGTGCCGCGCTGGCGACCCGTGTGAGCCACCGCGTGAGGTCGCTGTGTTTTTTCGCGTCAGACCCGTTCCTTAGGATGCAGTTGCAGCTCCTGGGATGTTGAATACCGAATCGGCGTTAGTATATCTCTGGTCGAGAGCTGGCATAGTCTGGCTCAATCCCGTTGAATCCGGCTTATTCCCGCTTACTCTGGCTTCATCCCTGGCTTATTTTGGCCTATTACGGCTCAGTGGTCCCGTAATCGGGATCCATAGTTCTGCCCGACGAAGACCTCCCAGGAGTTGCGTCCACTGATTTCCTTCTTCGCTCGAGTGTTTCGTTGGCGCCTTCCTGGGAAGGGGGCCTTCATGGAGGGCACGCTGATCACGGATCGAGGAGCAAAATATGATTCAAGCAGGGAATGTGTTTGGAGGTCCGCGATGATTTCTTGGATCGGCGTTGGACCCCCCTCCCTGGCGCGCGGAGCGCGCCAGGGGCGGCGCCGGGGGCGCCGCCAGGGGTCCCAGCGCAGCTCCAAGAAATTCGAGCGGACCGTCGGCAGTTCATGGGTCGCCGTCTCTCCGCTGCCGTGTCTCTCCTCTGGCCCTCGCTCGTTCTCCTTTTCTCGGGCCCTCGCTCGGTCCCGTTGCTGTCTGAGAGTTAGCGCTTGACTCTAACCCACGTCCGAAGCAAAGTCGGCAGTTTATGTCGGCTGCGAGCGACGGGGGGAAGTGAGAAGGAGAAGGCATTCTCAGACGGCGGCGGGTCTTTTCAGAAGCCCTCGCGCCTTCTGAGAAGGTTGCCGTGCCTCCGGCGAAGGCGCAGCGGCTCTTCAGAAGGCGGGGGCATTCCGAGCCTCCTGAGCAGGCCTTCTCCTTCTCAGTGCCCCGCCGGACTCGCCACCGATGATGGCTGTGCCGACTCGGACCCCTGGCGACGCCCCCGGCGCCGCCCCTGGTGCGCTCCGCGCGCCAGGGAGGGGGGTCCAGCGCCGATCCAAGAAATCATCGCGGACCTCCAACACACATTCCCTGCTTGAATCATATTTTGCTACTCGAGCGGAGCCGTGCGTGTCCCCCGCGGGCAACGTGACGGTGCTGCTGCGGGACCTGGACCTGGGCGTCGGCAGGCTCGCGGCGGCCCGGGGGGCCGCGGGCGGGGGGGCCGGGGGGCGGAGGCTCCGCCGGCGCCAGGGCCCGCCGTGGGCGCAGGGAAGGCAGGATGAGGGAGAGGGAGGAGGAGGAGGAGCAGGAGGAGGAGGAGGAGGAGGAGGAGGAGGAGGAGGAGGAGGAGGAGGAGAGGAGGGGGAGGAGGAGGACGAGGAGCAGGAGGAGACGAGGAGCAGGAGGAGGAGGAGGAGGAAAAGGAGGAGGAGGAGGAGGAGGAGGAGGAGGAGGAGGAGGAGGAGGAGGAGGAGGAGGACGAGGAGGACGAGGAGCAGGAGGGAGGAGGAGGAGGAGGAGGAGGAGGAGGAGGAGGAGGAGGAGGAGGAGGAGGAGGAGGAGGAGGAGGAGGAGGAGGAGGAGAGGAGGAGGAGGAGGAGGAGGAGGAGGAGGAGGAGGAGGAGGAGGAGGGTGAGGGACGGGCGGGACCTGGTCTTGACCGTCGGGCCCCTCCCCCCATGGCCTCCTGGAGAAGGCCCGGCCACCTCGCGCTCCTGGCCTTGCGCCGTGTCGCGGTCTTAGTTGTCTCTCCTGGAATTCTCGGCCCTATCTATCTGTCAATTTCAGGATCGGCCTGATGAGTTTAACATTTCTGCATGCACTAATATTCTGTTCTGTTGCATGAATTTGTCCAGAGTGGTCCGTGACCACTTTGGCTCAAGCCGACCAGAGATGTGTAGTTGTGCGGTCTTCCCGAGACGAAAGTCAGATCGTTCCTCACCGTCACTGTGTGCCCTAGGAAAGGTTCGGCTCACAGTGGTAGCGGAGCCGGTTGGCCGCCTGCTGAGGGCAGCGGCGGCTGGCTCCAAGCAATGGCTGCGCACTCCCGTGATTCTCAGGGAGCACGTGATGGCGAGAGGGACGAAACGGGACTCGAGGATGCCGACGACGCGCTTGGTCAGGAGAATGGGCCGACACAGGCCGTGGGCAGCAGTCAGACAGGGGATGCCCGTACCATTTCGATGCGGGACATGCGGGGCGTCGTGAAGGAAGTGTTCAGTGAGATGGTTGGCTCCACAGAGAGCCGCGTGTTCGGTGACCGGCGTAGTGGCAGATAGCGAGACGACGATTGGGGCGAGCACAGCTGGAAAAGGTGGCTTTCCGCGGAGTCCGACCAGCAAGGTATTGACGCCATCGTGTCTCGGAGCGCCAGGGTCACGAGCCAGAGCACCACAACAGTTAGAAAGGATCGCGACGGAGACCCGTGGAGGCGAGAGGATCTCTGGTCTCGAGGTCTGCGAGAGAGCGGCGCCCCAGAGACGGCCGCGAAAAAGAGCATGGCTGGAAGAACCCTGACTAGAACAGAAACAAGAGCTGGTGGACTACTCAGGGATGGTTGAGCAGACGATGGGAGTTCAGCAGCAGGTGGTCTGGAGACCGCGACCGTGACCGCAAAGGTGGCTACACGGACCCAGAGGCGTGGATGTCGGACTACAAGATGTGGAAGAGAAAGGTTCAGAGGTGTTTGAACGCCACGGACGTTGCCGTCGGGGAGCGCGCTGACAGGGTTATGAAGCAGTTGCCAGTGGAGCTGCAGCGCAGACTCGAGCATCTGTCCGACACGGTTCTAGAGAGCGACGAAGGAGTCGCCGCCATCTTGGCGCACTTTAACTGTTTGTCCAGCGAGCGCTTGGGCGGCGAGCAGCGGAGGGCAGCTTGAGAGTGTCTACTCCAGTTCCATCAACAGTCATCCGAGTCTTTGTGCGACTACACGTCGCGCGTGGATGTGCATATTGCTCGTCTAGCAGGGCGAGGGTTACCTTTGCCAAACACGCGGGGCATAATGTTTTTGGAAGAGGGCACCGCCAGCGACGCCCAGGGAGTCCAATTAGTAAGGCCTTTGATTAGAGACGCGAAGGCCTACGACGCGACTTTTGCGGGCCTTGCGGGATCTAGACGCGACGAAGAAAGAGACCCGGATCTCCGCGAGGGTGTAGACCGCGCTCGCGGTGGACGCCTTCCCAGAGCACGTGCCAGTGCGCGTGAGGGAGGGCTGCCAGACGGTTTCTTTATTCTGTGGGCGAGATAACGCTCCTGAGTGCCATCGAGATCCAGGATTTGGATGAGGAGGAGGCGCCGGCGGTGCTCTCTCAGATTCAGAGCGAGCGCCGCATGACGTGGAAGCCTAATCGGGGGTGCAAGAGACAGCTGAAAGTGGACAGAAGCATTTCAAGATATCTCTCGTTCCTGGAGCACCAGAGAAGAGAGCAGGTGGCAAGGGCGACCGCAATCATCGTTGTCAGAAGGGTCTCGCGCGGGGGCGCAAGACCCGTTTTGCCGCGGCTCAGATCATCAAGCGGATGAGGTGCATGAAGTCCAAGCAGAGGGTCACCGCGGGGGTGAGTGCCCGATTATGCCAGGGTCGCGACCAGGCCCTTCGGCGTTTGTCTTCTTGAACATTGGCGGGGGCGGTTGTGCGACGTTCGTCGCCGTCGAGCAGACGAAGGAGTGGGTGGGCCGGGCTCGGGGCGCCGAGCAAGGCGGCCTTCCGCTCGAGGATGTCCCGGTGCAGCTGGCGGCCGGGCGACTCCAGGCGCCGCCGAGCGCCGCGGCGGTCGACGCGGCCGCGGGCTGGGGCCTGGCGGGAGGGCTTGCGACGAAGAAAGTGGGAGCTCGACCTGAGGGGGAAGGGATGCCGAGTGACGAAGGTTCTGCCGAGGCACGACGCGGCCAGAGGCATCGGCAGCGCTGGGGAGATGCACGGCGTGCTGGCGTTGGCGGGGATCGAGCGGCGGATGGGGGCGTTGGAGATGGGCGTCACGGACGCAGGCATCCCCGGTGTGACGCCGATCTCTCTCTAGGATCTCTCGGGCGCCCGCATGGATCTCGCTGCGGGCGCTGTCTTCTTCCAGGAATGCAAATGTTCTGCTTGCTTGGTCCGCTTTTCTTCGGGCCGCAGATTCGTTTCTCCCAGCGAGATGGCCCCTTCGGGCTCTTTCGAGCGCCCAGGGGGCCTCCCGCGGGAGTATCCTCATCTGGGCCCTGACTCTTCTAGGGCGAGCTCGAGCGAAGCGCGCGCGGTTCTCGCCTCCTCCTCCTCGCCCCCCCCCCCCCCTCCTCCCAGGAGGTCCAGACTTCGACGGGGGCCTCCAGAGGCTTCGGGGCCCTTAGGCTGCCGGGTAAGTCGCTCGGTGCAGTAGGTGCGCAGGATGTCTCGAGCCCCCTCCTCTCCCACATTTCAGTTGCCCCGTGTCGACCGCGCCCCCGGGCGACTGCCCCGCCACATAACCCGGCAGACAATCCGAAACTACTGGGGGTAGAGGTGCGGAGTGGAGAGAGTGTTCGGTTTGAGTATTGGGCTCTTCTTGGCAATGTTCTGAGGTGCGTTCATCTGATGTTTCGAGATCAGCTGCATTCCCTAGGTGGCCTTCGAGCTTTACAGATGCACCTCTGAGTTCTCTGGGCCCGATGCGCTCCACTCGATTGCTGTGCACTGCGAGGAATGAGTGGCATGGGGAGGGGGTGGGGGGGGGGGGGGCGAGTGGGGCCGGGCCAGCCCGGCGCGGGCAACGGGGTTCAAGTGGATGGGCCATCCGACTCCCCGCGGCAACTCAGGCTCGAGAATCTCGTGGATCGGGCGAACGCGTCCTAGTCTTCCTGCCAGTGCCCGGCCACGGGCGGGGAGGACGTAGACGGCGCCGAGCGGCCAGGTCGACGCGCGTGGACAGGGCGCGCGCGAGACGCGGGCGCTGAACCATCGGTCGGACATGATCACATTGACGTCCCTGGCGGCGGCAATCTACTTGAAGACGTCACCGCGCTGCTCGGTGAAAGACAGGCCGTCGACCAAGCGCGCGCTCAAGCGCGTGGGGCGCCTGAACGTGTGTCGGGTGCAGCGCCGCCGCCCTGCCTCATCGGCTCAGCAGGGCTGCGACGGGTGTGGCCGCCAGTGGAAGTGCGCGAACTGCGGACTCAGGGTCGGGCGTCGCGACCAGCAGGGTCCACGCGCCCCGGGGGGGCGCGATGGGCACAGGCGATCATCTTGCGCCCTACTTGAACGAGCGCCAGTCAAGCCACAGGTCAGAGATCCCACAGGCATATCGAACAATTCGAGCAAGCCGCATGATATCGCAGGGGGGCGCGATGAAGGCCGAGCCCGAGGACGTGGCGATGCGCCCCGCGGGGCCGGGGGGGATTCCGAAGCAGGTTCGGGCGGCGCCGCCCCCGGCGGTCAGGGGGCGCTCCACCGAGGCGGGCTCAGCGACTGCGACCATTCAGGTGCAGTAGCCGAAGGGGTCCCAGGCGCAGCTCCAGGAACAGCTGCGCGGCATCGTGGTGCAGCAGGGTCAAGCACTGCAGCGCTTGGCGACAGGCGCCTCGAGCGCGTCGAACGCTTTTCCGGCATCTCCGACGTCAGCGGGCCCCCATTCTTGGGGGCTGATCCAGTCGCCGCAGCTCGGCGCGGAGGGCCAGGAGGTGCCGGGGCGAGCCCCGAGCCAGGCAGACGGGTGAGTTTCCAGGGCCTGCCGGAAGAGACAGGCATTTTCGTCAGCAGAGCCAAGATCGTTTCTGATGATTGCACCTTCACGGCGCGCTCCCCTTCGGTCCATCTCCTTGACAGAGTCGAGATTTAATAAATCGGTCATGGCTTTGCAGACGATCTCTACCGACATGGGCTGGGACAGTGCGAGCTGGATGTTGTTCCAGCAGTTTCAGTGGTTTCAGCTTACGGAGAGAAGCAACAATAACCTCATGGTTAAAGCTCCCCCATTCAGTGAACCGCGAACCCGAGGGCACCCAGCGACCCCATGTATGAAAGGTAAGAACCCCGAGGGTTTCTCGGTCTCTCTCTCCTGAGAGGGCGGGGCCCTGTCTTCGGAAGCACGGAGTGGTTCTTCTGGGAAGCTGGGACTTCGAGACCGGCTGGGACTTTCTCCAGCGAGGTCATCAGCTGAGAGCCCTGAGCTGGATGGACCTTCGCGATCCGTGGATGGTTATGCTGGGGCCTCCGCGCAAGGCATTCTGC